TCAGTGGTAGTGGAACTCATAGTGACTTCACTCTGACCATCAGTGGAGTCCAGGCTGAAGATGCAGGAGATTACTACTGTCAGAGTTACACTACATCAATAGTAAATATGTGTTCACACAGTGGTACAGAGCCGTACAAAAACCTCCCTCAGTCAGACTGCACAGTGACTGTACTGCTACAGCTGGGACCTACTACAGGTGCTGAGGGGAGGAGATGATCCAGTACAATGACACAGTGTGTAGTAGAGCTGAACAACAATAGAGTCAAACTAGAGCTTGTCTAGAAGACCTTAGATCATAACTGATCACTAAATGTTTCTCCTGACCATTAACTACATGTTGACTCTGTTGAGTAACTCAAGGAAAACCATCAACCAATCTGAATAGAGATGATGTGCAATGATCAAAATCCCTAAAGATGACCTGTGTTTTGAATAGCTAGAATAGAATCAACATGATTCAAACACATACAATGAAGCCCTTAAACATACCCATACATCCTCCCTCACACCACTGTGGTAGTTCCAGAGAGCAGCAGGTGAAGCAGGAGACTGGAGACATCAGAGATCTGAAGATCTCCCCTTTAGAGCAGAGTCAGTCAGCAGCATCACACAGTTCACACAGAGACTGAAGTTACTAACCCTGACCACTGGAGGGAGACAGAAAGCAAATACTATCTGGTCAAATTTTGTTATTTTTATTTACATTTACATTTACATTTAGTCATTTAGCATTCATTTTTTATTTCACCTTTTTTTAACCAGGTAAGTCAGTTGAGAACAAGTTCTCATTTACAACTGCGACCTGGCCAAGATAAAGCAAAGCAGAGCAATAAAAACAACAACAAAGAGTTACATATTTGTTAAAACAAAACATAAAGTCAAAAATACAACAGAAAATATATATACAGTGTGTGCAAATGTAGCAAGTTATGGAGGTAAGGCAATATATAGGCCATAGTGCAAAATAATTACCAATTACTATTAACACTGGAATGATAGATGTGCAAGAGATGATGTGCAAATAGAGATACTGGGGTGCAAATGAGCAAACTAAATACCAATATGGGGATGAGGTAGTTGGGTGGGCTAATTACAGATGGGCTGTGTACAGGTGCAGTGATCGGTAAGGTGCTCTGACAACTGATGCTTAAAGTTAGTGAAGGAGATAAGAGTCTCCAGCTTCAGAGATTTTTGCAATTCGTTCCTTTGATAATTTTAATTACACAGTAATAACAATATGCTCCATATTTAGATGTCTATAGTCAATATGTCAGCCCCCATTCAGAACTTATATCAGAAACCATATCAGTGATTACATAGCTATCATGTTTCTACATCACATCAGTCTGACTGTCCAGGAAGACCACTTACATGTAGGACACTTTACTGAATAATGGTGGATGGGGAGAAGACCAGAAGATTATTTGCATAGTGATGATGCTCTGCATAGACAGCACATGCTTCAGTGGTCTGGGAGTGTTTATATCCCTGTGAGTTTAACACTTCATGACTGAGAGCTGTCCTTCATGACAACAGAACCCACAACAACCATTACTTTTATCACCATCTTCATCTGGACACTTGCTTTCTGCTTTCAAGGTTACCATTTTCAGAATTTGTTGTTGAACAATTATTTAATCTACACAAGTATAATGTATATTCATGTAAATATTTTATTCAGAACAATTGCTTAATATATGTGATATTCATTTCATATAAATGTTTTATTCTATTTTTCAGAGTCCAGAGGCCAGGTCACTGTGACTCAGACTCCTGCAGTGAAAACTTTTCTCCTATGACAGACAGTCTCTCTGAACTGTAAAACGTGCAGTAATGTGTATCAAGCAGGTTACTCTGATGCCCGTCTTGCCTGGTATCAACAGAAACCTGGAGGAACTCATGAACTCCTTATTTACCATACTAAAACACTCCATCTAGATGCAGTGGCAGTGGAACGCATAGTGACTTCACTCTGACCATCAGTGGAGTCCAGGCTGAAGATGCAGGAGATTACTACTGTCAGAGTTTACACTACCCCAACAGTGTCTGGGTGTTCAAACAGTGATACAGAGCCGTACAAAAACCTCCCTCAGTCAGACTGCACAGTGACTGTACTGCTACAGCTGGGACCTACTGCAGGTGCTGAGGGGAGGAGATGATCCAGTACAATGACACAGTGTGTAGTAGAGCTGAACAACAATAGAGTCAAACTAGAGCTATGTCTAGAAGACCTTAGATCATAACTGATCACTAACTGTTTCTCCTGACCATTAACTACATGTTGACTCTGTTGAATAACTCAAGGAAAACCATCATCCAATCTGAAAAGAGATGATGTGCAATGATCAAAATCCCTAAAGATGACCTGTGTTTTGAATAGCTAGAATAGAATAAACATGATTCAAACACAGACAATGAAGCCCTTAAACATTACCCATACATCCTCCCTCACACCACTGTGGTAATTCCAGAGAGCAGCAGGTGAAGCAGGAGACTGGAGACGTCAGAGCTCTGGAGATCTCCCCTGTAGAGCTGTCATTCAGTGGCATCACACGGTTCACACACAGACTGCAGTTACTGACCCTGACCACCGGAGGGAGACAGAAAACAGAGTGTCTGGTCTAATAACACATTTATAACGATATGCTCCATTTGTAGATGCCTATAATCATTATATCAGTCCCCATTCATTACTTATATCAGTGATTACATAGCTATCATGTTTCTACATCACATCACACAAGATTTATTAATAAGTCTGATTTTCAGGAAGACTATTCAAGCAAAAGGCCTGATTGGGTGTGGTATATGGCCAATATACCACGGTTAAGGGCTCTACTTATGCACGACGCAACGCGGGAGTAACTAGGCATAGCCCTTAACTGTGGTATATTTGTCATACCTGTGGTACACGTCTCAAATACCACGTCTGTCAACCAATTAGCATTAAAGGCTTGAACCACCCAGTTTATAATGACATATAAGACACTTTGCTTTGAGATGATAAAAAATGATTGTAAGCCACTTAAACGAACTAAGGATCTGTCAAAGCTTAACCTCTCTCCTGCCACGCATGTCTGGAACCTTCCAGAACCTTCCCAGCATTTGATTGAGCCCAGATGAGGCTCGTTAACCAATCAAGGCCATGATTGGCTGGACAATCAGCCTCAACCTTTAAAATGCTTCTGTTCACACAGATCCCTTCAACGCCCAGTTGTTTTGAACGAGTGCAGAGGAGGACGAGGGGTTGACATTCTGTCGGATGGGAAGATGGAGGACAAGAGAAAAAGGAAGAAAGGGAAACATATTCTGAATAAATATATAGTGAGGGATTATACTCGTCTTCTGGAAGATCTGGTGAAGGAGAAGATGATGGACTAGAAAAAAAGGAGGGACATGGAATATGTTTAGAGTAAATATGCAATGGAGGATCGCACAGAACTTTTGGAAGAGCTTGAGGAAGCAACATATCAGTCCCCATTCAGCACTTATATCAGAAATGATATTAGTGATTACATAGGTATCATGTTTCTACATCACATCACACAACATTTATTAACAAAGTCTGACTGTCTTAGAATAATATTTACATATAAAACACTTTGTATTGGCAGCACATGCTTCAGTACTCTGGGAGTGTTTATATCCCTGTGAGTTAAACACTTCATGACTGAGAGCTGTCCTTCATGACAACAGAACCCACAACAACCATTACTTTTATCACCATCTTCATCTGGACACTTGCTTTCTGCTTTCAAGGTTACCATTTTCAGAATTTGTTGTTGAACAATTATTTAATCTACACAAGTATAATGTATATTCATGTAAATATTTTATTCAGAACAATTGCTTAATATATGTGATATTCATTTCATATAAATGTTTTATTCTATTTTTCAGAGTCCAGAGGCCAGGTCACTGTGACTCAGACTCCTGCAGTGAAAACTTTTCTCCTATGACAGACAGTCTCTCTGAACTGTAAAACGTGCAGTAATGTGTATCAAGCAGGTTACTCTGATGCCCGTCTTGCCTGGTATCAACAGAAACCTGGAGGAACTCATGAACTCCTTATTTACCATACTAAAACACTCCATCTAGATGCAGTGGCAGTGGAACGCATAGTGACTTCACTCTGACCATCAGTGGAGTCCAGGCTGAAGATGCAGGAGATTACTACTGTCAGAGTTTCCACTACCTCAACAGTGTCTGGGTGTTCACAGATACATAAACCTCCCTCAGTCACACTGTACTGCTACAGCTGGGACCTACTGCAGGTGATGAGGGGGAAGAGACACTGACATGGAACACTGATCAGTAGAGGAGGTCAACTTTGAAAATGGTTAGAAAGTGTCACCATCATCATTATCATGGTTGTAACTTGTTATATTGTCATGAACTGAAAGTGTATATAAAAATGTATTAGAAGTTTTGGAACACATTACCAGTCCATATGCAGAGTAAGATCTACTGAAGTAAAAAGAAAAGTAATGTTAATTCAGCACAGACAGGGCTGGGTGGTTCTGCTTGTCCCAGAATAGAGCAGCACTGTCACCAGATATTCACTCTGTTCCCAGGGGGATGGAGGTAGAGAAGACCAGGGGAAATATAATGGAGAAGTGTAGACCACACATTGTTGAAAACCATTGCAAAAATATCTAATTTAATAAAATCATATTAGGAATTAAACATCATAAATATATATGTTATGGAAAGTAACTGTTTAGTAGTGTGAGTTCTGAGAGCAGATCTTAGGTTTATTATCAAATATCACTAATTATTATCACTGGTATTGGTGCTACAGTATAACAGGATCATTCAGTTGTAGAAATGATTGCAGAGTGTTTGTTGGATCAGATGCCATTTTAAGTATGTTTAAAAACATGAGAGTAGCTATATGCTACAATGCTGAAATTATAAATGAAGCTGATTGATATAAATTAGTATGAAGTGTTCTGCCTATTCATGTGATAGTGATCACTGGAATCATGATTAAATCAATTATTGGGTTATTTTCTAATCAAAACAAGCTTTATATGAACTCAGAGGCAAGAAGACATGTACAACATAATCTCAAAATACTTCATTTAGCACACAGTACTACTGATATTATTCACTATTATACTGTAACATTCAGCTCTAAAATACTAATGTTTCCAGAACTAGCACCATGTGGGGATTCTCTAGAACCCTACAATTGCTTCTCCGGTCTCTAGACACACTTTTCCTGAAGGCGGCTGAATCACTGGTGTCATCGTCGTGCAGGTGTACACCTCTCCATCTTCCCAGCGTGCCTTGCTCAGGGTCAGGGTGCTACTGCGGCTGAAGTGGCCACCCTTCTCTTCTTCTGTGGTGGTCAGGACCCCATCCTTGACCTCTGCCCCGTCCACCTCCCAGCTCACCATCGCCCCCTGGGGGGAGTAGACACTCAGCAGGCAGGCCAGTTTGGCCGAGCACCCAGAGAGTTACTCAGAGGACAGGAGGGAGCAGAGACACTGTGTGCCTGACAGAGGGAAGAGCTGGAGAAGAGGAGAGATGATAGAGGAGAGTCAGCTACTACTACTATTGTAGAATGGAATATATTAGGAGAGGAGAGGAGAGGAGAGGAGAGGAGAGGAGAGGAGAGGAGAGGAGAGGAGAGGAGAGGAGAGGAGAGGAGGGAGAGGAGAGGAGAGGAGAGGAGAGGAGAGGAGAGGAGAGGAGAGAATACACACAGGATAAACAACTAGCTACAGTACTGAGAACAACCGACAACAACAAAACACTTCATCTATAAAGATAAAGGCAAAAATAAACTCTGAAAACAATTCTAGACAAAACAATTCATCAGATAAATGTATGTTACATTCATGCTCTACAGTTTAGCACAACAAGAGCAACAAAACACTAGGAGGGGGTTTACTGGACACAGATGAAGCATTGTCCTAGACTAAAAGCTCTTTCAATGAAGATTATCCAATTGAGTTTGCTTTTCAGTGCAGGACTAAGCTTAATGTGTCTGGCAAACTGCCCCTAATTCTACAAAGACATGCAGTAAACAGATACACTGCATTACCTCATCAGGTGTATGCTTAAACATTACAAAGCACAACTGATCATTTACATTTACATTTTAGTCATTTAGCAGACGCTCTTATCCAGAGCGACTTACAGTTAGTGAATACATATTTTTTTATACTGGCCCCCCGTGGGAATCGAACCCACAACCCTGGCGTTGCAAACGCCATGCTCTATCAACTGAGCTACATCCCTGCCGGCCATTCCCTCCCCTACCCTGGACAACGCTGGGCCAATTGTGCGCCACCCATGAGTCTCCCGGTCGCGGCCGGCTGCGACAGAGCCTGGATTCGAACCAGGATCTCTAGTGGCACAGTTAGCACTGCGATGCAGTGCCTTAGACCACTGCGCCACTCAGGAGCCCGATCATGACCTGGGGTTGTATATCCACAGCCTATTAAGGCTGAACGCATGTCATGTATGGTAAAATCAGCATCCAAAGAAGAGTCAACAGTATCCCTTTCTTATACACATTAACATGAGCATTTCAAATCTCACACCTACGTTGCTTTTATACTTCATCCAAAGTAACCCCACTATGTACACTAGTAAATGTCTTCCCTAACAAGTCAGCTTTTTCTTTATCATTTTTTGACCCACAACCAAAACTGGAATTCGAGTGGACTTGCTTCTTCCGGTCATCTTCTTCAACATAGACCATACATCCCCCAGCTCAGTACCCCTGCCTATTGTAGAGCAGAACTGCCTCCATGCATTTCTCTTGACAGACTTAATGACCCTACGTACTAAAGCTCTCTTCCTTTGGAAATCAATTAGATTCTCAGGAGTCATATTCCTACGCAACACTCTGTAAGCCCTATTTCTTTCTCTAATAGCCGCAGTGCACTCTTCAGTCCACCATGGAAACACCTTCCTTTTCTCACCCACTTCACTCTCTGGTACATACACATTTGTAGCACTCAAAATCAGTGATGTCACAGAGAAAGCACATGCATCAACCAGCCTCTCTAAAGACAACTGTCCAACATTTAAGCAATGATCACCAAATTTTCCCAGTCTGCATTATGAAAGCACCATCATCTGAACGGTACCCTATCTGGAGTAGTAACATCAAAGTTCATGGTACACGAAATTGGGAAATTACCACTTCCAACAGTAGAATCATCCATTCCATTCACACATAGATGCAATAGAGTTATAAGCCAGCGAGGTCCAGGCAGGATGTAACCCCTCTAACAACATAAACTCTTGTACTACATCCATCGTTAAGACATATGCTCTTGTTTCCATCATATCTTCCACAATAGTACCATCAGCATCAGTATGTGTGCTTCCCCATAAACTATTATGTGCATTAAAAGTTGCGCACCATATCTCTCTAGAGCCCATTTCTCCTGATATTTCATCAAACATCGCTACAGACAGTTGTAAAAATTGTGCAACTTAATATTACTACCTGCAATGTATATTTCCACCATCACACATTCATATTCAGATGGGACAGGTATATTACGATATACAAGATCTTCTCTTATGAACATAGTACAAATACCACCCTGTCCAGTTGATCTATCGGATCTGATTGAACAATAACCAGGAATAATCAAATCAAGATGTGGTCTAAGCCACATCAGGTTTAATCTCTAAATCAATTATATATTTCTTAAACACCTGATCGTTAGTACAACACCTCATTCCTGCCACGCCCTGCTATCTTCCAGCACCTTCACAGTCTTTAATTGATTCCAGCTGAGGCTCATTTACCAATCAAGGCCATGATTGGCTTGACAATCAGCTCTCAACCTTTTTAAAGGTCAGCTGCTCACACATCTCTTCAACGAGGGGAGAGATGGTGGAAGAAGAAGTAGTGTTGTTTGAAGCTGAAAGCGCGTTGAGTACAGTTAGTGAGAAAGATGAGTGGACAATAGTGAAGTCCAAGAATGGAACAGAAAGGGCTAAAATTGTTGTGGAAAATGAGTCTGATGAATCGTTCCTGTCACGTTCGTTTAAGGACGGGTCAGACCAAGGCACAGCGTGAAAGGCATACATGTTTATTTCACCGATAAACAGACGAACAAAACAACAAACCAACGTAACGTGAAGTCCTAAGGCTAAACATAAAACAAGCCTCTAACACAGATCAAGATCCCACAACTAACGATTGTAAACAGGCTGCCTAAGTATGATCCCCAATCAGAGCCAACGAGCGACAGCTGTCTCTGATTGGGAATCACACCCGGCCAAACATAGAAATACACAACCTAGACTGAGAACATAGAAAATACAACATAGAACTCCACACCCTGACTCAACATACTAGAGTTTCATACGTCAGGGTGTGACAGTTCCTTGTTGGAGTACATTTTTTGGATAAAGATGTTTATTTGGGAAACCCTTTTGAAGTCAGAGGATGGTGAAGAAGGCATTGGGAAATGTGGATGCAGTCAAAGTAACCAGGATTGGTATGGTGTTGATATCATAGTAACCAGGAGTGGTATGGTGTTGATATCATAGTAACCAGGAGTGGTATGGTGTTGATATCATAGTAACCAGGAGTGGTATGGTGTTGATATCATAGTAATCAGGAGTGGTATGGTGTTGATATCATAGTAACCAGGAGTGGTATGGTGTTGTTATCATAGTAATCAGGAGTGGTATGGTGTTGATATCATAGTAACCAGGAGTGGTATGGTGTTGATATCATAGTAACCAGGAGTGGTATGGTGTTGATATCATAGTAACCAGGAGTGGTATGGTGTTGATATCATAGTAATCAGGAGTGGTATGGTGTTGATATCATAGTAACCAGGAGTGGTATGGTGTTGATATCATAGTAACCAGGAGTGGTATGGTGTTGATATGGTGTGTATCTAAAGAGCAAAAGGAATGTGCATTGTAGCTCGCGAAAATATCAACGCATGAAATGAACAGCTTTGGTTTTCGGAGCAGGAAACCGGTAAAAGGTGTTATTTCTGGCGTCCCGTTGGACATTGATAATCAATATCTTAGGCAAAAAATTCCAGGAGTAGTTAATGCACGTTGCTTGACCCGTATGGAGAATGGGAAAAAGGAGCAAAGTTTATCTGTATTATTGATGTTTGATGAGTATTTACCACCCTATGTAAAGTTGGGATATAAGATACGCTGTAAGAGCATTCGTGCAAAACCCGAAGCAATGCAAAAAGTGTAAAACGTTTGGCCATGTGTCAAGTGTTTGCAGATGGAAGGAATATGTTATTGAAGAGTCTGTGAATGTAAAATGTTTCAACTGTGGCGGGGATCATAATTCTGAATACCCTGAGTGTTCTGTTAGGGTGAAAGAGGTTGAGGTGTCAAGGATCAGGGCTGTACAGCAAATCTCCTATGTGGAGGTGGTGAAGAGCATTGAAGGGGCAAGAGGCCTCAGTTCTGAAGAAGATATGGTGGTGGATGCACCACAACCAGTTGCAAATGTTATACTTCAATCAAGTAATCTGGATACACTTATTGTGAAAAAGGTGTATTTTGTAGCATTTATAGCCACAGTTATTAATTGTACTGCACAAGTGTCTAAGAAGCTGGACATCATTATATCTGCAGCCGAGTGGTTATCCCACTGGCTATGTGGTTATCCCACTGGCTATAAGGTGAATGCACCAATTTGCACCAATCCAGTCGCTCTGGATAAGAGCGTCTGCTAAATGACGTAAATGTAAATGTAAATGTAAATGAGAAGACTTAAACAGCAGAAGCACTGCAAGGACTATTGTCGCCAGGAAATGTCCCGCCATCACAGGATCCTTCTGAGCCTGTGTAGGGACCTGATTAAAACACATTTCGTTTTGATTTAGTTTAATTAACATTTCATTACAAATAGTTTGTATGGATTTTAAAAAATATATGTATTTATTTATTTTTTACCCCACATTTTTTTCCTTTTTGGATCCTTATTATCCACATGTACAGTAGGTGGCGGAATACACATAATTGTTGCGAACACTATTATCCCAAAGAAGAAGATCTCTTCAACTACAGTTTCTCTGTGGGACCATGAAAGTCTGTTTGGTTAGAGAGAACACTTTGCATTGCCAGCACATGCTTCAGAGGTCTGGGAGTGTTTATATCCCTGTGAGTTGAACACTTCATGACTGAGAGCTGTCCTTCATGACAACAGAACCCACAAAAACATGACTTTTATCACCATCCTCATCTGGACACTTGCCCTCTGCTTTGAGGAAAAAGATTTTGAGCTCAGACATTACAAACATCTCCGTAACCATATAATTAGGAATTAGAATGTGATGTCAGTAACTGCCAATGCCTATATTTAGTAATACCCATATTTTATGTCATCTATTAAATGGTGGTTTATTCATTGTAAGAAAGTCCCCCTCCCTGTAACCACTATAGAGGTTACAGTAAAACCAGTCCACTCCCTCACATCTGGCCCAGTCCAGGGTATTTCAGGCAGTGAAACTGTTCAACTGCTAGACTGGTATCTGTGGGAGTGAAACTGAGATTTCCATAGACAGGGCTGGGTGGTTCTGCTTGTCCCAGAATAGAGCAGTACTGTCACCAGATGTTCACTCTGTCCCCAGGGTGTTGGAGGTAGAGAAGACTGTCACTACACTATATAGCAGCGTTTCCCAAACTCGGTCCTCGGGACCCCAAGGGGTGCACGTTTTGGTTTTTGCTCTAGCACTACACACCTGATTCAAATAATCAACTAATCATCAAGTTATGATAATTTGAAACAGCTGTGTAGTGTTAGGACAAAAAACTAAATGTGCACCCCTTGAGGACCGAGTATGGGAAACGCTGCTAAATCTTGAAGTAGTGCCACTTGTAATATTTGTATTTGTATTTTATTTTTTTTAGCTTCAAATCAAAGCCTATAACACACGTGAGAGTCCAAGATATCGGTTGACTGTTTGATAGTTCTTCTTTTATTACTGTAAAGTCTGTCAAGTCAAACAGGTCTGACACAGACTCAGTATCCTGATGAATGAAGACAGTCAACTACTACCATGGCAGAACCTCTTCTATTATATCATATTATATTGTGATAGTATTAAATACTGGTCCATTATGATGTTAGAGTGAGTTTTAGACTTGACAGTTTTTAAAGACACCATTCATCAGCCTTACTGAATACATATTTTTCCAGAATATTAGAAAGATACAGTATCTATGATACTGTTTATTAATAGAAACAACAAAAATATGCATTTCAAAAAGAAATATTTATTTTAATCCATTATCACACAATCGAAGCATCAAAGCAAACATGATAGTGAATAAAAGCAGATCACATCAAATCTAAAACTAACACAATCTCAATCTACAGAATGGATTGACACATGAATTCAAGCCAAGCCCCCTGTTAGTCTACACAAGGGTGATCTCTAAATCAGTGAATTACTGATTTTAGAACAAAGCTAGTCAAAGCAGAGGAACCAGCATCCTCTCTCCACAGGGCTGTGTGACTGAGGGGTCCTACCCAGAACAGTCAGCCCTCCTCAGGGTCTTGGTGACTGGAGTCTGGGATTTCTGCTGGGCTTCACAGGTCACCTCTCCTGCCTTGGTCCACTCCTGGGCAGTGAGAGTCAGGGTGCTGCTCCAGCTGTACAGGCCGTCCTTCTCCAGGACCCCGGGACTGGCCTCCTGCTTCTTGCTGGTCCCGTCCACTTTCCAGCTCATGGTCCAGTCTGAGGGGAAGCCCTTGTTGGCCAGACACGTCAGTGTGACTGTTGACTTACTGGACAGCTCCTCACTAGAGGGGGGAAGGACGGGTTTGGGAACTGTTACCTGGAAGAAACATAACACATCAACTACATCAAAACAAAGTACTTTGGAAATGACTTCTAAAACTTAGATTAGATTGCTAAAAGACGTGAAGAAAACACAAACATTAGTATGATAGGAAAGCAGATTACAAGTATAAAGTATACAAGCAGAAAGCATACAAGTATGACGTGTTTAACTTTAGCATTAATTTGTCATACATATATTTTTTTAGGATCGTTTCTCATCAGAATACTCATATTTGTAGTATTTTGCAGAATCCAAGAGGTTGGATACAAATAACAGAGACCCTTTCTGGCTATCATGAACACAATGCACTGATGACTACAATAACAAATATTATAGTTATCATACCAGAATAAGAGTTATATAGTCTGCAATCATACAAATAAAACATACAAAAAAATGCCCGCAATTAAACATTTTTATTAAATAAACTGTTGAAAGAAGGCTCTTTCAACATCAATATATAACAATATTTTTGGAAAGTAAAGTATCTCAAATCTAAATGTTTTAATAGAGATTAAAGAGTTTAAGAAAAAAATGGAATCAGACAAACATCAAGAAACTTACTTCCAACATCTAGTCTGGTGCCGCTACCAAAAGTGTACCACAGTGATACAATCCCTATTACTGATGGTACAAAAACCTCCTGACCATTGGGCAAGATGAATAATAAAAATGTTTAGACTGTGGTTTAAATCATGAGCACATATGAATACTGGCCAAATATAATGTTATATTCTTCATTTGAAATAGTTTTTTGATTAAATGAAAAACATTATAGTTTTATTATAAAATAGAAAGGTATAAAACAAACCCAAACATTTTAGAGAAATGTTCAGTAACTGATTTGAGAAACTTACATAAGAGTCCAAGCATGAGTGAAGTGACAGTTAGGGCTGTATTCAATCTGTATCGCTGAAGCCTTTAAATTTCAATTGGGCTTTAGCGCTGAACTTCAGCAATACGGATTGAATAGAGCCCTTCATCTGAAATAAAAGTTGTATCGTTGAAGTGTTACAGATTGCCGGATAGAAACGTCAAGATAATTTTTGATTGAGCTGACATATTACATTTACTTCACTTAGCAGATGCTCTTATCCAGAGGGACTTACAGGAGCAATAAGGGCCTTACTCAAGGGAACATCGACAGATTTTTGACCTTGTCGGCTCAGGGATTCGAACTAGCGACCTCTTAACCGCTAGGCTACCTGCCACCCCATATGCAGCGTTTACTCTGAATGCAGTCTCCGCTAACACAGGAACATTGCCTTTAAATTCCAATCACGCTGTAACGCTGAACTTCAGCAATACGGATTGAATAGACCCCTTCATCTTGATGCTTATCATTTGCTTTCAAGTTGAAGTTGCTGTTGAATTCTAAAGCATATTATGTTCTAGAAAACTGATCTTAAATGGAATCTGATCTTGACAATGTGTTATTATTTTCTCAGTATCCCGAGGGCAGATCACTGTGACTCAGATCCTTCAGTGAAAGCTGTCCTTTCAGGTCACATACTGCAGTTACTCTCCACTGCTGTAAAACCAGCAGTGATCCATTAAAGGCTCTGTGCAGTCAAAATTCAGTTTTTCTTGTGTTTTATATAATATTGTACAACAGCTGATGAAACTAACACTGTAAACGTGTACAAATTATTCTGTGTTATTTCCTGATAGTTCCTAGCTAAAAATATAATGTACTGTACATAGGACCTTCTAATTAGCAGGTTTGCATTTGAAGGAGTTTCGACTTTCCATGGTGACGTTAACATGTGGCAAAATAGTTAATAGACCAATAAAAAAAAGAGAGTTCCAAATCCCTCTGCCAATAACAGCTAGTTTTCAGTTTTCCCTTCCCCATTCAGAGCCCTCTCAGACAGTCTTAGCTGCAGGTGCTGAGGAGAAGGACTAGACCAGTGATAGTGTTGAGGACTAGACCAATAATAGTCTGGTCCTCTGTAGCTCAGCTGGTAGAGCATGGCGCTTGTAATGCCAAGGTAGTAGGTTCAATCCCCGGGACCACCCATACACAAAAAAGAATTATGCACGCATGACTGTAAGTCTCTTTGGAGAATAGCGTCTGCTAAATGGCATATTATTATTATAAATGGCATATTATTATTATATAGTGTTAAGGACTAGACCAGTGATAGTGTTCAGGACTAGACTATTGATAGTTTTGAGGACTAGACCAGTGATAGTGTTAAAGACCAGTGATAGTGTTAAGGACTAGACCAGTGATAGTACTGAGGACTAGACCAGTGATAATGTTCAAGACCAGACCAGTGATAGTGTTCAGGACTAGACCAGTGACAGTGTTGAGGACTAGACCAGTGACAATGTTCAGGACTAGACCAGTGATAGTGTTCAAGACTAGACCAGTGATAGTGTTTGGGACTAGACCAGTGATAGTGTTGAGGACTAGACCAGTGTTGGTGTTGAGGACTACAGTCTAGAGTATCATAGGTTCCCTTTATTATTTGACCGACCAACACCTCAAAATGAAAACAGTCACACAATGGATGATATACACTGAGTGCACAAAACATTAGGAACATTCCATGACAGACTGACAAGGTGAATCCAGGTGAAAGCTATGATCGCTTACTAATGTCACTTGATAAATCCACTTCAATCAGTGTAGATGAAGGGGAGGAGATAGGTTATAGAAGGATTTTTAAGCCTTGAGACAATTAAGACATGGATTGTGTATGTGTGCCATTCAGAGAGTGAATGGGCAAGACAAAATATTGAAGTGCCTTTTAACGGGGTGTGGTAGTACGTGCCAGGCGCACCGGTTTGTGTGTCAAGAACTGCAACGCTGCTGGGTTTTTCACAGTCATCAGTTTCCTGTGTGTATCAAGAATGGTCCACCACCCAAAGGACATTCAGCCAACGGCAGGCCAGTGGTCGAAAACGGGTCATTGATGAAAGAGGACAAAGGAGCCTGACATGAATTGTGCAGAGCAACAGACGAGCTACAGTTAGTCAACTGACAGACTAGTACAACATTGGTGACCAAAGACCCATAAAAGAATGCACAACTCATCGTTCCTTGACACGAATGGGGTATGGCAGCCGACATCCTTACAGAGTTCCACTTCTTTCAACAAAAAACAAGAAACTGAATTTGCAGTGGGCTAAGGAAAAATATTGCTTGATCTGATGAATCCCTGTTTCTGCTGTTTCCCGCTGATGGGAGGACCAAGGTATGGACAAAACCACATGAGTGCATGCATCCAAAATGCTGTGTGTCAACGTTGGTGGTGTGATGGTGTGGGGTGTGTTTTCATGGCACACATTGGGCCCCTTGATAAAAGTGGAGCAACGTTTAAATTGCCAATCAGGTGCATCCCTTCATGGCAAAAGTGTATCTATCTGCAAATTGATTTTTTCATCAGTATAATGCCCCATGCCACAAGGCTAGGATTGTCCAGGAATGGTTCCACGAACATGACAGTGAATTCAGATTACTGCAGTGGCCTTCCCAGTCACCAGATCTCAATAAAATGAGCATCTGTGAGATGAGATGGAACGAGCAATTCAGAGTAGAGATCCACTACCAGCCAACTTGACACAACTGTGGAAAGCATTGGAGTCAACATGGACCAGCATCCCTGTGGAAGGAACACTTTCGACACCTTATAGAGTTCAAGAACCAACAAATTGAGTCTGCTCTGATGGCAAAAGGGGGTGGAACTCAATATTAGGAAGGCGTTCCTCATGTCTTGTACACTCAGTGTATATCCCATATATTACCAAATGAGGCATACATAATCTGCCTTGCTCCAGGAGGTCCATTTGCATAGAGAGAACACTTTGCATTGGCTGCACATGCTTCAGTGGTCTGAGAGTGTTTATATCCCTGTGAGTTTAACACTTCATGACTGAGAGCTGTCCTTCATGACAACAGAACCCACAACAACCATGACTTTTATCACCATCTTCATCTGGATACTTGCATTCTGCTTTCTAGGTTACAATGTTAAGATTTGTTTTTATATTTGAGAAAAGATCATTCAAGATACACACATGAATAATATATATGGCTTTTATATATATATTGAGAGCTATTTATTGTAATATGTATTTAATAATTCATTTTTTTTTACTCAATTTCCCAGAGTCCAGAGGACAGATCACTGTAACTCAGACTCCTGCTGTGAAAGTAGTTCTCCCAGGACAGACAGTCTCCCTGAATTGTAAAACCAGCAGTAATGCATACAAATAACCATCTAGCCTGGTACCAACAGAAACCTGGAGGGACTCATAAACTCCTTATTTACCAAGCTACACACCTTCAGTCTGGGACTCCATCTAGATTCAGTGGCAGTGGATCTGGGAGTGATTTCACTCTGACCATCAGTGGAGTCCAGGCTGAAGATGCAGGAGATTACTACTGCCAGAGTTTCCACTATCCCAATAGTAAATATGTGTTCACACAGTGATACAGAGCCATACAAAAACCTCCCTCAATCAGACTGCACAGTGACTGTACTGCTACAACTGGGACCTACTGCAGGTGCTGAGGGGGAAGAGACAGTGACATGGAACACTGATCAGTAGAAGACATCAACTCTGGCATGTGACAATATGATTAGAAAGTGATCATTCAGATCACATGTTCTCTGTCATCGTCATCATCATCATCATCAATATGCTGAGTAAATTATCATGATCACTATTTGTACTGACACGTAAGTGCACCTATACAAAGTAACCCCACACAGTTAAAGAAGTCATTTGCAAATTAAAATTAGAAACATTTTATCCCCCACTTCTCCCCTGTATGAAAAGGAAAAAGATGTGGATCTCAGACATTAGACCACATGTCAGTAACTGTCAATGCCTGTCTTTAGTAATACCCATCTTATATGTCATCTATTACATGGTGTTTTATTCATTGTAATAAAGTCCCCTCCTTGAATCCACCATAGAGGTTACAGTAAAACTAGTCCCCCCACTCACATCTGGCCCAGTCCGGGCAGTGAAACTGAAACTAGACTGGTATCTGTGGGAGAGAAACTGAGATTTGCATAGACAGGGCTGGGTGGTTCTGCTTGTCCCAGAATAGAGCAGTAATGTCACCAGATGTTCAGCCTATTCCCAGGGGGTTGGAGGTAGAGAAGATCCCCACATTGTAGAAAACCATTCAAGAAACTTAAAAGGATTTAAACATGATAAATATATATGTTAAGGAAAGTTACAGGTTAGCAGTGTGAGTTCTGGGAACAGATCTTAGAGGTTTATTATCAAATATCACTATTTATTATCACTGGTATTGATGCTACAGTATAACAGGATTATTCAGTTGTAGAAATGATTGCAGATTATTTGTTGGATCAGATGCCCTTTAATTATGTTTGAAAACATGAGATTAGCTATTTGCTACAATGCTGAAATTATAAAAGAAGCTGATTGATCTAAATTAGTCTGAAATGTTCTGCCTATTCATGCGATAGTGATCACTGGAATGATGATAAAATGAACTCTTGGGGTTGTTTTCTAATCAAAAAAGCTTATTTGAACTCAGAGGCAAGAAGACATGCACAACTTATCTCAAAATAGTTCATTAAGCACAGAGCACTAATGATATTATTCACTATTATACTGTAACATTCAGCTCTAAGAACACTAATGTTTCCAGAACTAGCACCACGTGGGGACTCTCTAGACCCCTACAATGGCTTCTTCTCCGTCTCTAGACACTACAGTGACTTCTCCGGAGGGCGGCCGAATCCCTGGTGTCGTCATGGGTGACCCAGCAGGTGTACACCTCTCCCTCTTCCCAGAGTGCATTGCTCAGGGTCAATGTGCTACTGCGGCTGTAGCGGCCGTCCTTCTCTTCTTCTGTGGTGGTCAGGACCCCCTCCTTCACCTCCGCCCCGTCCACCTCCCAGCTCACTGTCGCCCCCTGGGGGGAGTAGCCGCTCAGCAGGCAGGCCAGTGTGGCCGAGCCGCCGGAGAGCTGCTCAGAGGACGGGGGGAGCAGAGACACTGTGGGCCTGACAGAGGGACCAGCTGGAGGAGGGGAGAGTGGAGAGAGGAGAGAGGAGGATCAGCTGCCACTACTATATAATGGAATATATTGGGAGAGGAGAGGGAAGGAGAAGAGGAAAGGAGAGGAGAGGGTCAGCTACTACTACAACTACTACTACTAGCACTACAACAACTACTACTACTACTACTACTACTACTAGCACTACAACAACAACTACTACTACTACTACTACTACTACTACTAGCACTACAACAACTACTACTACTACTACTACTACTACTACTACTAACACTACAACAATACTACTACTACTACTACTACTACTACTACTACTACTACTAGCACTACAACTACTACTACTACTACTACTACTACTACTACTACTACTACTAGCACTACAACAACAACAACTACTACTACTACTACTACTACTACTACTACTACTACTACTTCTACTACTACTACTACTACTACTACTACTACTACTAGCACTACAACAACAACCTACTACTACTACTACTACTACTACTACTACTACTACTACTACTAACTACTATAGCACTACAAACTCACTACTACTACTTCTACTACTACTACGATACACTACACTTCTAACTGCTACTACTACTACTACTACTACATTGCAATAACATTGAATCTGCGCTAGTGTATCCAATGAGGCATACTACTGCTTGCTCCAGGAGGTCATTTGCATAGAGAGAACACTTTGCATTGGTGCACATGCTTCAGTGGTCTGAGAGTGTTTATATCCCTGTGAGTTTAACACTTCATGACTGAGAGCTGTCCTTCATGACAACAGAACCCCAACAACCATGACTTTTATCACCATCTTCATCTGGATACTTGCATTCTGCTTTCTAGGTTACAATGTTAAGATTGTGTTTTTATATTTGAGAAAAGATCATTCAAGATACAACACATGAATAATATATATGGCTTTTATATATATATTGAGAGCTATTTATTGTAATATGTATTTAATAATTCATTTTTTTTTACTCAATTTCCCAGAGTCCAGAGGACAGACACTGTAACTCAGACTCCTCCTGTGTGAAAGTAGTTCTCCCAGGACAGACAGTCTCCCTGAATGTGTAAAACCAGCAGTAATGCATACAAATAACCATCCTAGCCTGGTACCAACAGAAACCTGGAGGGACTCATAAACTCCTTATTTACCAAGCTCACACCTTCAGTCTGGGGACTCCATCTACGATTCAGTGGCAGTGGATCTGGGAGTGAGTTCACTCTGACCATCAGTGGAGTCCAGGCTGAAGATGCAGGAGATTACTACTGCCAGAGTTTCCCACTATCCCAATAGTAATATGTGTTCACACAGTGATACAGAGCCATACAAAAACCTCCCTCAATCAGACTGCACAGTGACTGTACTGCTACAACTGGGACCTAATGCAGGTGCTGAGGGGGAAGAGACAGTGACATGGAACACTGATCAGTAGAAGACATCAACTCTGGCATGTGACAATATGATTAGAAAGTGATCATTCAGATCACATGTTCTCTGTCATCGTCATCATCATCATCATCAATATGCTGAGTAAATTATCATGATCACTATTTGTACTGACACGTAAGTGCACCTATACAAAGTAACCCCACACAGTTAAAGAAGTCATTTGCAAATTAAAATTAGAAACATTTATCCCCACTTCTCCCCTGTATGAAAAGGAAAAAAAAGATGTGGATCTCAGACATTAGACCACATGTCAGTAACTGTCAATGCCTGTCTTTAGTATACCCATCTTATATGTCATCTATTACATGGTGTTTTATTTCATTGTAATAAAGTCCCCTCCTTGAATCCACCATAGAGGTTACAGTAAAACTAGTCCCCCCACTCACATCTGGCCCAGTCCGGCAGTGAAACTGAAACTAGACTGGTATCTGTGGGAGAGAAACTGAGATTTGCATAGACAGGGCTGGGTGGTTCTGCTTGTCCCAGAATAGAGCAGTAATGTCACCAGATGTTCAGCCTATTCCCGGGGGTTGGAGGTAGGAAGATCCCCACATTGTAGAAAACCATTCAAGAAACTTAAAAGGATTTAAACATGATAAATATATATGTTAAGGAAAGTTACAGGTTAGCAGTGTGAGTTCTTGGGAACAGATCTTAGAGGTTTATTATCAAATATCACTATTTATTATCACTGGTATTGATGCTACAGTATAACAGGATTATTCAGTTCTAGAAATGATTGCAGAGTATTTATTGTATCAGATGCCCTTTTAATTATGTTTGATAACATGAGATTAGGTATATGCTACAATGCTGAAATTATAAAAAGATGCTGATTGATCTAAATTAGTCTGAAATGTTCTGCCTATTCATGCGATAGTGATCACTGGAATGATGATAAAATGAACTCTTGGGGTTGTTTTCTAATCAAAACAAGCTTTCTTTGAACTCAGAGGCAAGAAGACATGCACAACTTAATCTCAAAATAGTTCATTAAGCACAGAGCACTAATGTTATTATTCACTATTATACTGTAACATTCAGCTCTAAAACACTAATGTTTCCAGAACTAGCACCACGTGGGGACTCTCTAGAACCCTACAATGGCTTCTCCGGTCTCTAGACACTACAGTGACTTCTCCGGAGGGCGGCCGAATCCCTGGTGTCGTCATGGGTGACCCAGCAGGTGTACACCTCTCCCTCTTCCCAGAGTGCATTGCTCAGGGTCAATGTGCTACTGCGGCTGTAGCGGCCGTCCTTCTCTTCTTCTGTGGTGGTCAGGACCCCCTCCCTTCACCTCCGCCCCGTCCACCTCCCAGCTCACTGTCGCCCCCTGGGGGGAGTAGCCGCCTCAGCAGGCAGGCCAGTGTGGGCCGAGCCGCCGGAGAGCTGCTCAGAGGACGGGGGGAGCAGAGACACTGTGGGCCTGGACAGAGGGACCAGCTGGAGGAGGGGAGAGTGGAGAGAGGAGAGAGGAGGATCAGCTGCCACTACTATATAATGGAATATATTGGGAGAGGAGAGGGAAGGAGAAGAGGAAAAGGAGAGGAGAGGGTCAGCTACTACTACAACTACTACTACTAGCACTACAACAACTACTACTACTACTACTACTACTAGCACTACAACAACAACTACTACTACTACTACTACTACTACTACTAGCACTACAACAACTACTACTACTACTACTACTACTACTACTACTAACACTACAACAACTACTACTACTACTACTACTACTACTACGACTACTACACTACAGCACTACAAACTACTACACTACACTACTACACTACTACTACTACACTACGCACTACAACAACAACAACAACTACTACTACTCTACTACTACTACTATACTACTACTACTACTACTTCTACTAACTACAACTACTATACTACTATACCTACACTACTACTACTACTACTACTACATCACTACAATACTACTACTACTACTACTACTACACACTACAACTACTACTACTACTGACTAACTACTCACTATACGTACTAATATCGATTTCCATGTAAA